CTATATTATTAAAAACTCTCAGTATTTGAAACTATTACTGTTAACAAATAACTTGGCACGTATCTTATTTTCGATTGTCAAAACCTCCTCTAGGCCTAGATTAAAATTCACAGGTCTTCAGAAATATGTATTTCCTCCTTTCTCTCACCTCATCTCAGACTTGTTTGGTAAGACACTGTAAAATAATATTAATTCCAGTCACTTTCACGAGCTGCTTCTCATTAATGCCCAATTAGCATAATCACAGCACGTGTGTTGGATTACCTTTGCTGTGCTTGATGATTAGACTAAATTCCACTTGGGGGAACTAAGCCTTCGCAGCTTGTTGCTCGTGCACCGTGGTTGGCTGCTCGTAAAGCAGAAAATTGGACAGAACGCACCTGCTAAGGAAGAGCTGTGCAGAAAGACGTATGTCAGAGAAGTAGGTGCATGGGAATCTGGTAGTGCAGGCTCTCTGGTGCCTGAGCTACAGGTTACTTTGGATAAAGGAAAACTATGCAGGTTCCAGTGATGAGCACACCCAGGAAACTGTGAACGTAACGTCTGTCCTGGATGGCTCGCTATTCTGTGTCTCCTTTGGCATAAAAGAGTTGCCTCTTAATGGCATCAAGTGGCTTGACTTTATTTTATGTGTGCAATGCGTTCATGAAACTTTCATTTGGGAATCACTTGTTTTAGCTTTTGCCCACCCTGCTCCAAGGTAAATCAAGGAGAAATTGCCCAGTGGAGAGGACTCTGACCTAGAGGTTAGGAACAACAAATTAAAAGAAACAAAACATAAACAAAAATCTCGCAGCGTGTGACCTTGGAGAAGTCAAGTCACAACTCCAGACCCAGTTTCCTCATTTATGAACAGAGACACCCCAAGGCCAAGTATGCCTCCGAAATGTAGAATATGACGACTTCTGAAGGGGGACTTTTTAGGTTGCGATTCTTGCTTTGCAGATGAAAATATTTAGGAGTCAAAAGCATGCAGAACTTGGCAAAGTCAGGTATATATTTATGATTCCCCCAATCAACTGATTCCCCCCACCAGGCCTCCACAAGCCTTTCTTTGTTCAGAGGTTTTTGTTTCTACTTCTAATTTTTCCTTCCACAGTTAAAAAAAATAAAGATTTAGATGATTGCTGTCATTAGCAGAAGACAAATAAGCAATTTGGCAACAAAATAATTTAAAACTTAAAGTGTAACCAAACATGAAAGTTTTTCACTAGACATAAAAACCCAGAGTTGCAACTCTATTTTATATGTAATTATGTAGTTATTTCCATTGATTTATTGAGAATTACATACATATATGTGGCTTTGCCAAGTTCTCTATACTTTTTGCTCTTAAAAGTTTTCATCTGCCAAACACGAATCACAACCTTAAACTCTCCCTATGGAGGCAGTCACATGCCAAATGCTGGAGCTGAACTTGGCCTTAATCTAACCTCATTTTGCAGATGCAGAATGCTTTTCTCTCTGTGTAACGGTTCCCAACACCAGCATTCCCAGGTGGTCCACACAGAAGACTAATGGTCAGATTCTGTGTTCCTTGAGCTCATTTGCAAGGCAGAGGCTCCAAAGAACTGATTTTACCTTCGTTTCCCTAATAAGAGAGCTGAATCTTGGTCACTGCCCAAGGTCCCAGCTAGTTAACGGTGCTCACAGGGTGTAAACACAGGCAGTCGGATTCTAGATTCAGTTGCAATACATCCCTTTCTCATTTGGACTTCTTGCCCAAATGTCAGTTTCCTGAGAGGATGGAGTTTATTTTGTAGCTGTATTCCCACATCTTCAACAGGGTTTGGCAAGGCAGAAGCAGACGGCTGGCCAGCGGCCCCGTGGACTGTTTGGGACCCACACTGATTTCAGGTGGGAGGGAGCCATTTCTCTCTCCCGTGCATGATGGGGGTCTGAGGGCGTCCCTACTCTTGGGAATCCAGGCCTCAGAAACAGAGGCTGAGAAGAAGACAGTGATTCCTTCTCAGTTCCAGTTTTCTGTCCTGTGATATTTACTGGATAGCCATGTAACGGGAGGCACAGAACAGAAGGAAGGGCAAACCATTCCATGGGAACTCATGATTCAACTTCTCATTGCTAAAAACAAGAGCTCTCAGCTCTCTGCCCCCTTCCTTTTCCATCTAACTGTACATAAGTTTGTGTGATATAATTGTCCACGAATTTACTCATCTCCTCAGTTAACCTTCTGTCCCAGGAACAATTTGACTTCTTTTGCTGCTTTGCATGTGGGGGCATTGTTTCTTCAGTGTAGAGGACTGTTGGAAAAAACAAGAAGGCAAGCTCAGAGCTCAAGAAATAATAAGGGATAATACTGTAATCATAACAACTCGTTATTTGTTTTTGAGCTTGATCCTTCAGAAAGTTATTATCTGGAGTTGAAGACTAATGGATTCAAGCTCTCTTTGTGCTGAGGAAATCTTAAACAACAGTGCTCATGGGGAAGAACATTAATCAAGAGAGAGAAGTAGGCCTTGTGCCTACTAATGTTTGCATAATAGCTACCCCTGGGTATATTGCTTGCCTTAAAAATAAATATTCATGCTTTCTATCTCCAGTGCAATTGGAAATTATTTGTGGTTATGATTCTGTTATATGATCTTCTACCTGTTCATGTGGACTCTAAGCTGGGAGGGTGTTGGAAATGAACAAACGTAAATCACCATGCTTGTGAATGAGCCTGCAGTGGAATCTGACAGGGGCTAAAGACTGGCAGTCTGGAGCACATGGGCTGGGGCAGGTCATGACTCTGTTTCTAGGTGGGGGGAGGAGCAGAATCATAGTGGCGTGCTTCAGAACATTTAAGTGCTTTTAACTCCTCCATAGCTTCTCATGACCTCAGGATAAAGTCCGAGTGTCTTCTCTCAACATAAATGCCACTCACTGGCTTGGCCCCCCCGAGTCTCTGCACCACATTGGCCGAGACCACGCCCCTCCTCAGCTGTGAGAATACGAAGCTCTTTGCGCACTCCCCCAGACTCCTTGACACTTAACTCCCATGTCCTTGTTCACATTCCACCTTTATTTTGCAAGAATTTTGCACCTCCTTTGCTAATCACTGCTACTTACCATGGAAGATCGGGCTTAGACTGTACCTTTATCTAAGAAACATTTTTAAACTCTAGAGTTAGTTGATGAATTTCACCCTGGCTGCTGCTGCTCCTCCCCCCCCCCTTCCTTTCTTTCACTTTTAGAGCTTCTTAAATAGCCTCGGTCCTAGGGAATTCCTTCATTGTCTTGATTTATTACTTATATGCACCAATCTTATTACACGAGTGCTTTAAGTCAACGAATTCATTTTTCTTTTCTCTCTCCTGTATTCTTTTTTTCTCTCTGCCTTATCTTTTAATTTGTGGGAAAGGGTTTAGTATGATCTTGAGAACATAGACTGCACTGGTTTGAACTGGTGTGCTGGAGTTTCAGCTCATTATCGACTGACTGCCCCCTTGGGTGATTGCCTTTACCCTATTTCTTTCCTAATCTGGGTCTCCTACTTCAGTGAGGGGAACATCCTGTAGCTTAGAAGTCCCATCGGATTTGTCCTCCCAGACCTGCAATGGCTAATACCTTCTCCCGCCTCTCCCACCCTTCCCTCTGAGACAGGCTTTACAGCTGGGAGTTAAGCACCTTCCCATCCCATTGGCTCCATCACCTGCACCTTGGGTGGGCGTGGTACTAAGAGAGCTTTGTCTGCTCGACTTTACACACTGATCTTACCCTCTCACTAGGCTCCTTCTGAGGTGTTCATGTGTCTTTTTCATGCACAGTCACAAAAGTCCCGAAAGCTACCCATTCTGGTAATATCATTAAGTACATATCTATTTATAAAGCATTTTTTTTAATCCTTACTACAGAGAGATGAGCCGGACAGCTGTTAAGCTTATTTCACAAATAAGAAAGCCAGTTCCAGAAGACTGAATGACTTCTCACGTGGATGTGTGTAGTACATCACAGAGATTAGAATTAGGACCCCGATCCAGTGCCCTTTCACAGCACTGTAAGCTTCTTAACTTGAAAAGACAATTTTCTCTGGTTTTCTGTTCGCCTCCAGTGGAGCTCTGCACAGTGGGCTCACCCAGGGCACTGGCCACAGGCCTGGACTGCACACAGGGACCTGGATGATGGCAACGACAGGGCCACCACCAACTCAGTGCCCAAGAGAGTCACTTTACTCTGTTGTGGTGTCCCCATCCACAACTGAAGAACGAGACACGTTTTCTTAGATTCTTTTGATGTAATATGTTATTAACTCCCTCTCTGTTATTCTTATCTCTCTCCTCCTTCCTCTTTTTGCTCCCTCTGCAATCAGTTTGACAGCTGACTCCTGACCACTGAAAACATACAAAGCATTATGCAGGCACCTTAGCAAGATGGAAAGAGTATGTTGCTTATAACTTGTTGTGGAAAGGGAACATTCTCCCCTCTCTCCTCTTCTCCTTTTTTTTTTTTTCTATTCTTTCATCATCCTTCTGCCTCCATTTTCAAGTAGCCTTCTGACAAAATTACTGGTGATTTTTTGAACCCCACGCAGACCAAGCGGAAGGGACTGGAAGGAGGGGAACAAAACCGATCATGATCGGGCACCTACTCTGCATCAGTGGATGAGATAGGAACATGTATATGATTTAACTAATCCTTTCAGCAATCCTAAAAGGTTTAGACTTGGTATTTTTCAGTTGAACTGAGGCTCAGAGGGGTTAGGTGATTCCAGATTTGAACCCAACCTGTATGACTCCAAATTTCATGTTCTCTTTGCTGTACCTGGGCTAGTGGGGGCTCTGGTGGGCTCTAGAGACATGCAGGGGAAAGGTACCCAGGTTGGGAAGGGCTAAAGAGAAGGCTTGAGCCTGTCCCAAGATCTGACCCTTGGCGTGCTTTTCCTTCCCTGCCTCCTGCCTCAAATGTAGACATTTCTGCAAAATATGAATCCAGCCCTTTGTAATATTTCCATGAGAGGATCTTCTACTAATGAGACACCTCTCTTTTGTCTTTCACAGCAATTTTGCAGGCTGTAATAGCTGGTGATCTCATGAAGGTAAGCTATCTTCCTACCAACATTGTTGGCAATCCTTTAAGAACTTGACATCATCTCGCATCAAACTTTCCTGATCCCATATGTCATTTATCAAGCCCCTGCCTGTGCTGGCTCCGTAGAAAGACAGACGCTCTCTTGAAGATTGAACAGAGAGGGTGAGAGGAGTCCTCACAGCATCTCCACACTTCCTAATAGCATAGGTTTTCTGTAATGGAACCACACAGCTTGTCATGGCTAGTTAAAACGGGCCACACGTCCCCAGGATACTGTGCGCTCTGGGCCCAGGATACCTGTTCTCTAGAAGTTGATATTGGAAGTTTCAGGGCTTCATCTTAGACAAGTCTTGATGTGAACACATCTTGAAAGAACCACCTGGACAACAACCAGAAATACAGTCTTCAGGCCAGAGACTGTGTCTTCCAACATTACTGCAGTTTTGTGTTTTGGGGATCTCAGTGAACCTAAAGACCAACATCTGTCTGATCCATCTTGACCCTTTCAATGTGCACTGATGTTTTCTGGTGGATTTTGGTTCAGGGGGAAGGATGCAGCCTCCGCTGCCTTTCGAGCAAATGCTGACCCTGAAGCCAGACTGCCTGGGCTCCCACTGGGCTCTCCTGTTCCCTGCGTGTGTGACTTCAGAAAATTACTTAATTCTCTCCGTGCCTCAGTTTCTTCATCGATAAACTGTAATAATAATATTGCCTCTCTCTTTTCACTTTGTGAGGATTGCATGTAAGAAGACATGCACAGCTCTAAAGACTGTTCCGGTGACATAAAAGGACTAAAATGATAGCTATTTGATTAACATACAATTAGTCTGTGTTTTTTAAGAGCTAAACATAATGGAGATGCGAGTATTTGTTATAAAGTATAATATAGTCTGTGACCGTGCTCAAGGCCATATTTGGTCCCATGCCCTCTTCAGGCCTTGGGACTCATCCCTGCCCATCTGCCCCAGTAAAAGCCACACTGATTGATCAGCCCTGTTATAGGAGCAGAGGCTGTTCCTTCCTCCACAGCTTGGGAAAGATGGTGCCACCAGAGTCCCAGAAAACAGAAGCCTTAAGCGACAGCTGGGACACACTACCTTTGAACGCACTATCTTCTGAGGCACCTCTGTGCTGCGTTTTCAACAGGCCGCTAGCAGACACCAATTGCAGGGACAGTTGCCAGCATCTAGATCAGCAGCCACCTCTAGACACACGATCCTGCAAACAGTGCCTGTGTGGGCACAGTGTTCCTGGGGACTGTCACCCACGAGAGAGATGTGCTGTCTAAGCAGAACACCTGGGAGTCCCATGCTGCCCCCCAGCTGTGGATTAAACCAGTTCCCACCTGTACTCCCTGCATGGCCTGCATTAGATTCTGAGAGATAAAGGCTTGAGTAAGATTCCATCCCTGCCCTCGCAGAGCTTCTAAGCTGGAACATTTCACAAACTGTACATTCGAAACCTCCTCATTTTATTTGGCACGTGCTTTTAGTCTAGGCAATGAATTTCCCAGGTCCGTGGGGATATCCCCACAATTTCTGAACTTAATGGGGATTATTTGGAATATGGGAAATCACTATATTCAGCCATTTGTCTTATTTCATTCTCTGCTGCAATTATTTCCAAAATGGCTAGAAATAAAGCCAGAAAACCTTATTTACAGAGAGATGACATATAGGGGGCTTAGGATGTTGTGTTTTTGTTGTCGTTGTTGTTTTTTTCCTCATATTTTCTTCTCCTTTTCTTTTCCATTTTCATTCATGTTTCCATTCCATGTGGAAAGCACAGTGAGTGGTTGTGTGTGTATATGAGAAAGAGGGAGCATGTGCCAAGCAGCAGAGGACCCCAGAGCCATCCCAGTGTGAAAGCTGCCTGGAGTAGCTCCCACACATCGGGCTGCATAAGATGCCCATGGACTCACTTAATGTTCAGTGTCTAAAAACACCACAGAAAGGCAGAATCAGGGCAGCGGATGGATTGTGTCTGTGCTAGTCTGCTGTGCCTGAATCCCTTGCCATCTTCCCCAAAGAAAAGGGACTGTCACCATAAGACAATGCAGTGAAACTGAACAGGATTCTTTTAGGTGTTGGTGGATAACTATTGGCACTTCTTCCTCCTGCCCCAGTTTAGGGATGAAAGGCCCCATAGGGTCCTTACTTCCATTCAGCGACTCTTTTTTTTTTATCTATTTCCTAGGAAGTTGTCCATGACTCTTTTCCGTCCCCTACTTCAGGCCTTCCTGGTTCCTCTGACAGCCTGTCATAGTCCGCTCCCTTCCGGCGTAATTCCTTCCACATCTGTGTTCCCCATGGACTGTGACACCTGGGAGGCCAGTGGCTGAGTTGTCTCCATCTTGGTGTCCCCGGCATCTGACACAAGGCGGTGCTGTGGTTGTATTCAAGTGGGGGCATGAACGATGACGTTACTGCCTGTGACCTTACGAAATGCTTGATTTTTTAAACAATGTTGTGCCATCTAAATTCTGGATAGTAGACACATTCCTTCTGCTTATTTACCTGCTGGGTCATTTGATTCTTATTGGTCCTAAAACTGCCTTTTAGAAGCTCCAGAAGGTTCTTCTTGTTCTGATAAACCACCCTGGGGAGAGTAGGGGCCCATTTACACTTTCTATCATGTTTAATATTTCATAAACTTAGACCATGTTCTCATTTAGCTCTCTTGTTCTCAGGTTGCAAATTCTCCTTTGTTTGTTTCTGGTCTGGTCTCATATTTTAGGTATTTTATGTCTCTACCACTGTGTCCCCTGAATCTCTTCATTTTTCATCACACAGAAGGCATGCAGGCTGGCTGCAGACCTGGGTAAAGAGGGAGCCTCCCACATACGTACGTGTGTGTGTGTGTGTGTGTGTGTGTGTGCGTGTGTGTGTGTAAGTGCTGTGACACTGTTCAGGGATCTCACATGGGAAGAAGGAGCTTCCATATTTAGCAGCCAGGTCCATCACAGATTGAAGGAAAACTAAAGAACGGGAAGGGGGTGACCTACCGGACACCAGACTAATCCTGACTATAGCTTTAATTATTCTTCACTCAAGAAAAAGCAGACCCAATATGGGAAAGCTTTTATTCTCTCCCCTACCCTCCACTCCCTTGGAACAGGGACCAGTGCCCAGAAAAGGAAAAGATTTAAAAAAGAAAGAAGTAATTCAGTATACTTCAATTTCCTTTGGCCTGTTCAACACCTATACATGCTCTCAGGAGTTAGTGAAACATGGGCCATCTATTTGAGTTATAACGCAATCGAGGGAGGTTACTTCATCTCTCTGCCCTTGCTCTGTGTCTCCTGAGGCTAGAAACATTGGCAGTTTGCCTCATCGTTCCTATTTCATCACCCATGAGCCGTTTTCCTTGTTCTGGACTCTGCCTGAGCTTCTTTTCGTGTGTCTCTTTTTCAGCTAATAGAAAGCTATAAAAATGGAGGCAGCCTGCTAATTCAGGGACCAGACCACTGTTCACTCCTTCACCACGCAGCTAAAACCGGCAACGGGGAGATTGTGAAATATATCCTTGACCACGGTGAGTAGGCACGGTGAGCCAAGGATCACTGCTCCATGAACTAGATGGAATTAGCGAGGTTGACTTCCACCCAGGCGACCTTCGGGACGGTAGAAACACTCTCTGACTCTCCCCAAGAGGTGGTAGGCCACCTGACCGTATAGGTATCCTAGCCAATCAATCAGTAGAAGTAATTTTCATATCAAGATCTTTGCAGATTATTTGGGGGATGATTAATTATTTTTAAAAGACAAAAACCAGTGTGTCCTGGTGTGATGTGCTTTATTATTTTGGGAAGAGCTTTTATGTTTGGGGAAGTTAATTGCAGTGAATGAACGATTCCAAACCCACATCTGTGCAATCATTCTCAGGATTAATGAGACTATTTTTTCTGTCCTCCTAGTTTTCTAGTTTTTTTGTTTCTTTGGTTGGTTTCATTTGTTCGTTTGTTTTATTTCTTGCTGTTTGAATTTCCTTTATCTTTTCAACTCAAGACACACTTTATTCTTCTTGGAAACGTCTGGAAGTCTTGGGTCCTCTGCAGCAGCCCATGCTCACCTCCTGGGGGGCTTCCTACTGAGCTTTCTACTTTAGGTTTTATCATTTGCTGGAAACTACCAGTAATTTTCAGCATCTTCCTCTCGTAGCCCTTCAGCGGCATGAACACGTGATGAATATCACATCCTGACCATTCCTTATAGCTTCCCATGTTTATAGTGTTTCTAGGATGAAGACTAGCAATAAAGGGGACAAAATCTGCGTGGTATCGTGGTTTTCAAAGTGGGAGTGGGGTAGCCTCTAGCTCTGACAAAGGTCTTGGAAGATTTTCCATGAGCCCCAGCAGTGAGCCTGTGGCCAACCTTCTTCACATTCAAATTCAGGCTATCAAAAGAAAGTGTATTACTAGACATTCACATTCCTTCTTGCTCTTCTTCGTATTCAATTTAGCAAATGTCCTATTTCATTCATTCATTCAATTAATCATTCCACAGATATCTGGGGAGTGCCTAATAGGAACTACCTGTTCTAAACCAGTACACACACTGGTTTATAAATAAACCAGTAACTGTTTTCAAAATAAAATGCAGTTGCTGTTTTCAAGCAATTGCAAGCTAAAGGAAAAAAATGTCATCAGAGGCATAATTACATTGAAACCAGTTGGAGAGATGTCTTCAGTCCTATTGCAAAGCCACAAAACCATTGTCAAAAGCACATGTTCTATGCTAGATGCTTATACGGCACACATCACTGCCTCTGCAAAGGCCTCGTAAGGTAGGTATTAGACTCTCAGTCACATTAGACTCACCTCCTAATACCTTCTCACCATGAAGAGTTTTCTTGAACCCTTGGCTTGAATTGGGGTAGGAAGAATGGTTTTGGCAAAGCAAAGGGTGTTAAAGAGGGCTGACGGTCAGGAGAGGATTTCTGTCCCCCTTGCAGGTTTGGGGGATGGGTGATCCCAGGCCCGTCTGTGGCGGACAGTCTGCCTGCACAGGTGAGCACTGTCTCCTTGGCGCTGGGTCCAGGCTGTGCATCATTCCCACCTCCCACTCCCCTGACCATTGCATCCCCGCAATTAAAACATTCCTCTCTGGGCAAGACCTGCAAAAGCATGGTGGCTTCAAATCTTCTTGCCTCCTCCACATAAAAAATATTTTTTAAATCATAGGTATGAGAAGCAGAACTAAATGTAAGAACCCAGCCCCATAGACAAGGCATAAAATCACAAAGAAAGCTCCTAGGGTTATCTCACCTTGATACAAATGATCTCAAAGTTTCTACTGCGTGAAGTTTGGGTGAGCTTTAGATCTATACTGTTACTTTATTACCTCAAGCTCAAGTTACAGCTACTCCTGTTTGTTGTCTTCTTGGTCATTTTCTTTTTCTTTTCTTTTCTTTATTTATTTTATTTTCTTAATTCTTTTTTAAAAATATATTTTATTGATTATGCCATTACAGTTGTTCTATTCCCCCCTTCATTCCCCTCCACCCTGCATACCCCTCCCCCACCATTCCCCCCATTAGTTTATGACAACGTGTCTCAAGTTCTATAGATTCTATATTTCCCATACTATTCTTGCCCTCCCCCCTATCTATTTTCTACCTACCGTCTATGCTACTTATTTCCTTGGTCATTTTCAATCCTTTATTCCTGGTTTTTCCTTTCTCTAATAAGACTGCGTACTTGTTTGCATCCTTAGGTTATTTAATGCTTACCTGCCGTCTCTGGGGTTAGGTAAGCCACTGACACCCATTTGAGTGATAACACAGCTTAGGGACCCTCCCTCCATCTCTCCTCCCTCCCTTCCTCCCTTTACTTCCCCCAGTTCTGGATTCCAGTCTGTATCGGTTACCTGTCGGTGCCTCCCTTGCTCTCAGTCATGTCCCTAGGCTGCAGTGAGCTGTGCTTCTGACTGAGTCTGTACCAAAGAGGGATTCTGGTACATGTTTGGGGATTTCAGCTGGGGTAGCTGGAGTGGCCCAGTCACCTGAGCCTTTCTCTGTGCCTGGTTTTCCATCTCAGGCTGCTTCATGGCATGGTGGTCCTAGGGTTCCAGTGGGAGACAAGGATAGCTCCCAGACATCCCAAAGGTTCTGCATCATCTCTGTAGCATTCTATAAACTGAAACAAGTCACAGAACTGGTCCTGACTGGAGGGATAGGGGAACAGACCCCACTGCTTGATAGAAGAAGCTGCATATTAAATTTGCTGCCAAGTTGAATCTCCCACATTCCCTTCCCCTTCATCCTCTCCAGCTGGAAGTGGTGACCCCGCCTTCTCCGTATCCTGAATTGCTGATCTGCCTGAACCCTCCTGGTGCTCTGCTTTTGTATTTCCATTGGTTTTGGGTCCTAAGGTTGCTTGGCAACAACAGTTCTTTAACTCTGCAAGTTCTTTGCAACGTTCTCCCTTTTTTAGCATATGTCCCATGTGGCATTTGAGACTTATACTAAAACGGAGAACAAAGACCCTCTCCTCAGTTGAGTCTCCCCAGCAGAGCAGCACGAGTATGAGGCATGAGCTGATATTTCTCTAAGTCCCCTGCGACTTCTTCCATTGGAGTCCCCGACCATAAGTGTAGGTTGGTACCCACACGCTTTGCCTGGCAGGAAATCCTACAGGCACATTGGTCTTAGAGCTTTGACCAAAGCCTGGCACTCTGACACTCAGCAGATTTCTCTTCCATCTCCAGTGTCTTCTGCAAAGGGTGAGCCACAGGCTACGCTGTCTCTGTCAAAACCAAAGGACACCAAGGGACTTATTAATTCCTTGAGGAGGGTGCTTGTTTTTCCAGTTCTTTTTCTTAGATTTTGTATACTCATCGGTTTACTATTTATGCCAATGGGAGAAAACTCCCAATTCCCGCCATCACCCCAACTTCACTCGTAGGCACGTGGTTCGCACAGGAGACACCCTGTCCCCTCCCCACCTCACCCAGAGGAAGGCTGTGGAGACAGGGAAGCGGTTCCTTCTGCTTGAGAACAAAATATGACACTCACACTTCAAGGGTCCCCACCCTTGTCACGAGTGGCAATTTTTCAACTTTTAGCCCTACAGTCAAATAATGGAAACTAAATCACAGTTGGCTTTTACTGAAATTACTGTTTATCAATCAGATAGGCATTGTGTATTTCAGGCTTACTATCAGTCCCATTTCTGTTCATTCAGAAATATTGATGTAAAATCTTTTGACCTAATCAGCCTCATTTACCAGGTTCCTTAAGAGCTAAGAGGTTCAAGTCATCTATTTTTGTTATTGTTTGTGTTAATGTTTTTAGTGGCTGGTAATATTTATATTAACCTGTGCCTTTGGGGACTGAAAATCATGTTTGTAGAACTTCTCATCTTTTTTAAATGATAGAAATCCCTTGAAATTCCACTGTCTCAGAGTCAGGGATATGGACTTGGAAGAGCTGGCCCTCTGTCTGCTCTGTAATCATCTTCCAAATGTGAGCTCTGCTGGGGGAAATAGCCTCTCCTAATTAAATAATGATGGAGTCTCAGATTCCCCTGGTCAGACAAGGAAAATAGCCTTTGCCAAGGTGCCCCATGGGACTGGAATCGGAGGACACATTTCAGACAACAGCGTGTGTCTATAAATCAGTACCAAGTTTGCAGTGGATGAACCTCAGCAGTGTGAATTCATGTAAATAGAAAAGAAAAATATTATACCGTGCCAAAGATCAAGAGGGACACTCCTCCTAGTCTCAAATGCTGAATATTTCTCCAAGTTTTAGTTAATTAAAAAAAAATTGGGTTCAGGGCTTTCCTGTGACTTCATATGATTTACAAACCCTGAAAGCTATTCAAAGACCTGACTCAAAGATGCCTTTGATGACAAGGCTTCCGAGAAATCAGGGGGCCCTTTCTTTTCGAGGCACATGATGCAAATTGGATGTGGCCTGTTCACCCCCTGTGTCCTTTCTCTCCCCTCTGTTTGGCCCTCTTCATTGGATATTTATGGTGAGCAGCCCCCCATTCCTCGGGAGGACACCCCCTGAACAGGCGTCCTGAGAGAGCCCATGCCCAGTCTCCACACTCAGCAACACCTTTCTCTCCTTAAAGGCCCTTTCTAAACCAGGCTGGGAGGCTGGGGAGCAGTTGTGTGCTTGGTTCTGAAAAGCCACACAGGAGGCTTGGATTTTTTTTTCCTCCCGCATCTTCTCTGGGACTTCTTGTCTCAGACTCACAACCTGCTGCTCTCCTTTATGAAACACTGGAATTTGGGCATTTGGAGGGATGAAAGGAGAGGGAGGAGGAAGAAAGCTCACAGTTGCACAGGGACAGGGTGGAGCCAGGAGGGTGCCCAGGGATTCCTGCTGAGATCCCCCCAGCGGTTCTTGCTTTTCAGCCCCTTTCAGCCATCAATTTTACCCACCCCTTCCTCCCTGATTTGGCCTGCAAAAGACTTTTGTGTTGTTTGTCTTTTACCACCCCGCACACGTTTGCTCTTTTGTTTTTTTTTCCCCTCCCCACTCTTACCCCATAGCCCCCTACTGTGGTTCCTGATAGAAATCTCACTCATGCATTTCTTCTTGGATTTCAATGGCTTATTTTGTCTTCTCTCTGTTTCTGTCTTCAGTCTTTCTTTTCTTACTTTTGCTCCCCCCTCCCCTTTTCTGCCTCTGGTCCTCTGAGAGAAACGACCACCATCCTGCTGGGACAGGATGACGGTGCCGTTAGAGTTCCCAGTGCCAGCTCTCCCCCAAATCGGCACGGCCTTTGTCCTGGGCCCTGGGAGGATTTGGAATGGTCTGCTGGCAACGCCAGGGAGACTAATGGGAAATGAGGGCCGGACAGAGAGAGGCCATGGGGGAGTGGAAAGAATAGCAAAGGGGATTTGGATGCCTTGGTGTGGGAAGCAAATTAAAAGATGCACGTGACAAAACACACATCATATATAATTCAAGTGCAATAGTGATAAAGTTGCATCCATAAGAACTGGGATGCACAGTGGAAGAGCCTGTGGAGTGAATGCCAGGCAGTGACCCTGCAGTTTGGAAGGCTTTGCTACTTACTGCGCAGGTCACATCCGTGAAGTTTAACTTCCTTCAGGATTCCGTGGCTGTCCCCTGACACACTGATGTGCCTATTCTTTTGATGTATTTTTTTCTCTTATTTTTCAGACCATTTTCTATATAGCATAGTCTTTTGAATCCATGTTCCATTTATGGATCTTTCTCTGGAGAAGACACACAGTATTGGCTGGGGTCCACATTGATTTTGAAATGTCTTTCATTCCTTTAATCACTTAAAAAATTAATTCTGTCCTACCCACTCTGGAGAGAAAAAAATGCTATAGTAACAATTCCTGCTAATCTTTATTATTCTAAATACTTTGAATGCGTGAACACATTCATTCCTACAACACAGTATGTTCTCTTATCTCTGTCTGACAGGTGGTAAGAACTGAAGCACAGTGAAGTTAGCCTCGTTGCCGAATCTCAAACCTACCATAAGATGTGGTCCTTGCCCTCCACGGTCCTAAAACCCAGCAAAGCAGAGTGAAGCAGGGATAAACAAGGATGATGTGGGGTGGTTCAGGGCCAGTGGCCTCTGCAGGGTTCCAGGGACAACCGGTGCAGAGCTGTGGCAGGGCAGTGGGCTCCTCCCTGTGAAATTTCCATTGAGACACATGCACCCACGTCTCTTCAGCAGGGGCTGGGGGTTGTTTCTGGTGCTGGCGGCTGTGGGATGGAGCACGGGCCTCCTAGCAAACCCTGGGAGGGAGGGCAGGCCAGGACTTCTTTTTACATTCGGGGAACAGCTTTGAGTTCTCTACTGATGATTTAATGGAGCTCCTCCAAACTCCTTAGGGGAGATGACACGGTATTCACAATCAAAACCCACTTATACACAAAGCACAAAATAAGCCCCCAACCCAGATGTTCCCCACTGATACATATATTGAAGGAATTCAGTTGCCTTCCTTTTCTCTCTTTCTCCTGTTCTCTTGCCTTTTCATGAGACTCAGATTAACTTTCCAAAAATCATGAATGCTCTTATTTTTGTGGTCTTTTTTATTTTGTTTGTTTCTCTGGCCACTCCCTGCTTCAACTCTTACGCCCAAATGGCTAAACTGCACAGGGCACTATTAAACAGCACAAAAGACTATATTACAATAGCTCCCAACAGGGCACTGAAGGTACAGATAGGGAGGGAAGCCACAGCCTTGTCTCAGACTGCACCCTGCGCTCACTCTTCTTGTTTCCTCTTTGCACACACCCCTCGCACCATGCAAACACCATTATTTCACAGCAGGTTCTAAAAGTCATTTGAAAATGTACCTCCACTATTCAAACTAGCTCACCGCTCCTGTCTATAATCAGCCAGCAGCCCCCCTTCCCTATTCATCTCCGGCTATTCACCCACCGGTGTTCACAATGAAGTCCAGCATTGCAGAGCCATTCCCCAAACCTCCGACTGGAGTTTGCTGAGATGCTCATTAAGAGCAAGCATGCCTGGTTTGAGCCTCAGTCTTTCTAGCACCTCTGTCGGCTGCAGAAGATGAAGTGGAAAAAGGGAAAGTGCCCGGCAGTTTCAAACCAGCCTACTTAGTCCGCAGTGGGGTAACCAGCTCCACAATCACGCCGGGTCGGCCACATGCAGAGTGATTCTCACCAGAATGTGAGGAACAAGGTCCTTTCTCTTCCTTGTCCCCATTTGCAGAGTGTCAAACAGTTGCCATTTTAGCACAGGTGAACTTGCTCAGTGTCCTCTCACCTGCATGGAAGCTTGGACCCTAGAGTCTATGGACCCTGGAGTCCATGGACCCAGCTCTGAGTGCGGAGTGAGGGAGGAAATGGGCTGGGCCCAAGTACCCATGCAACCAGCAGTAATGTCAGGGCTAAGCTGCTTGCATTCATACAAGTCCTTTCAACATAAATGGCTTGAAAGGTTTGCCGAAGGTGACAGCTCTTTAAAAGGACCATTGGACGGTGTAAGTCTACTTGCTCCTGACCTCATTGAAAATGTCCTGTGGGCAGTTGAATAGACTTGGAACACTTGGTCCTCAGGACATGTAATTCAAATCAGCCAGTGGGGAAGCGGCCTACCTCTGATACCTCCTTCCTTCACTGATGTTCCAGCTTCGTGACTCGGGATGACCTGCTGGGTTATGTCAGAGAATAAGACACTTCAAACATCTAAAATTCAGGCCTTGTGGGTAGTAGCCGGCTGTGTTAAGCATATAACCTGTATTAACTTGCAAAACCTTACTGCACTCCTGTGCAGTAAAGGAAAGCAGTCTTACTTTATCTATGTGACGATCATGGGTCTGAGAGGTATGATGAACTTGCCCAAGACCTAGTAAGTGGCAAATAGAGCTGGAATTTTAAATGAAGGAAGTTCAGCTCTAGAAACCTCACTCCTAACCACTGCACTATACAGCTTTGTACTTCTGTGCGTGTGTGGGGGTGGAGGGGATTATTATTCATGTTTCCTTAAAACCACAGGATTGTGGAACAGAAATGAATGACTTAACTCTTTGTTGAAAGTAGGGTGGATCCTCAAGGGATGTAAAAAATAAAAGTATTCTTATGTTCAAGTGATTTAGAATCAATTAAGGGGACAAGACATACAACCAAACATCAAAGAGATGGGTCAAGGGTAGAACCAAATAAGCTTTATGGAAGTTCAGAGAGGGGATAAATTCCTCTGTCTAAGGTGGTCTTTGCAGAGGACCTTGTCAGAGAGTAGACCTTGGACAACATGTATGGTGTAGGTATGAAGCTAGATGACAAGGCTGTCCTCAGTAGGGACAGTGGAGGAAACAGGCTGTCCCTTAGAGCAGGGAGAGCCTGAGAAATACGCGGATGACAGAGAAGTTGCTGCCTTGGCTTATGTAAAAAAATGGAACCTCAGGAACAAACTGAGGGAAGGTACTTCCAAGGGAAGACTGTGAATGTCAATATTTAAATACTTGGATGTAAGCGATCCATATGGTGAACTGGGAACCTGGAAATCTAAATGACACGAGACCTTTTTATTCTTCTCAGTAACAGTTTCTTCATGCTAATTGTGTTCTAGCCAGAGACCTATTAGGAGGCCTGTTCGTGAAATAGGACAAGTAGGATAGACATCGTGGGGGAAGGTTTGGCTGGCCTTGGCCACCAGTGGCCTTGACCACCAGTGCATGTGAAAGAGGGCAGGCAAGGAGGCCAATTTAGCTCTCGGGTGACCAGGAGAATTGTGAAGGTCCCATAACACCTGTCATCTCCCTGACCAATGACTTTCATGGTTGAAGGGTCCTCACCTCTTGTTCTCTTTTTTCCAGTGATATAATAAGTAGTCACATAAGTAAATTTTCAATGATAATGATATCCAACAACATAGAGAACAAATCAACACCATCGTATTTCTAAGGACTAAAATGTTCAATACCTAGAACCGTGATTGGCACTCCCAAGTACATTTGACTCATTCATTGAAACAAACATGTCCACATCCTCTTGGCAGCAGGTGCCATGCCAGGCACCAAGGAAGGACACGTTGATGGGCAAGTCATAGGCTACCACCTTAAGAGGTTTACAAGAATCTAATTGTGAACAGAGAAATCAGTAGGTGATTTTAATATGGTTTAAATGTCATGATTGGTAAGGTGATTATCCCTTCTTATTTGGGATGGTCTCAATTTGGATACATAATATCAATTTCCCAATTGTTGGACATAGGGCTAATAGACAGAGTGAGGCGGGACATTGAGTGCAGTGTTTGGAGTGGGTTCATAGTAGGCTTCATGAAGGAAGTGGTCTCAGCTGATAGCTGCAGGCTTCATAGGGTAGGGGACTGATGGAGGGTCAGGAAGGGGAGGGAGGTCATGGTGCAGAAATGGGGAAGGGGGGCATTCCAAGCAGTGTGTGCAGACAGAATGCACAAACTAGTGAACATTTAAGACACTGTGAATGTGCAAACTCATAGAACATTTCAATTCCTAATGAAGCAGCTATCATTTGATGTTTATGTATAATATTTCCTCCAGGTCTTGGAAGGGGAATTTTGTGAAAAAATTGAATTGTACCCTCTTTCTAAAATAAGGATATTGGACTGTGTGGTATCTATTGTCTCTTGCAGCTTTATCATTATATTGCATAAGACCCCCTCCCAAACCACCTGCCCATGGAGAGTGGGAAACAGTCCTGAAGGCCCATTTGATTGTCCCTTTTCTCCCCAGGCAGCCACCTGATTATTGCTCACCTGTTCTATTGCAATTGATGTTATTTCTTCAACTTAACTGAGAGCTTCTTGAAGGCTTTTGCAGCTCCTTTTCTGCACACAGTGGCTGGTGGCGATTGGGAGACTGATGGAGAGGAGGGAGAGGGATTCTTTCTTTTCAGAGGGAGGGAGGAGGAGGTTTTATTACAAATGCTCTCTCTTATGGCATTCCCAGGCATTTCCCAGGCATTTCAGTTCTGTGAGTATAGATTTATTTGTTAATGGTTAGTTTTCGAACTTCTTTTTGATGGGCATCTTGCTTTCCTCTTGTTTAGGACCCTCCGAGTTATTGGATATGGCAGACAGCGAAACGTGAGTGTTGCTTTTCATTACATAGTCTAGACTGTTCTTCAGAGCACATCTAGGAAAAGAATGCAGTGTCTAGGGCGTGCAGTAGAAAATTTCCCTGTTGGCGACAGAGTCCACTTTCCACTGTATTTATAACTGTGCAGGGCTAATCTTCTAAATCAAAAATTACCCAATAAGAATTGATGGTAAGTGTCATAATGGCTGTGTGTGTAGTTATTGCCATTCATCATTTAGAGACGTCTGCACTCATGCATTTTGGACTGTGGAGAAGTCTAAACAAATACATTTACCCCTCTCTTTTTTACTCTTTCTTAACTGAGGCTTGTGGGAAAATTAAGCCCTGGTGCTCTGAGCCATCTTTGCATGTTGTGAAACCTCTTTGCTGAGTCTAGAATGGAACAATGTCTATAACACAGCCTCTGGAGAAATGAGATGATGGTAACGCCCATCGTTCCCATGTTCTGAGGTTCGGATGAGGGATGCTGGGGAAAAAGTCCCCCTCTCTGGGGTGATCCCCAAACTGATGTCTGTTCTCAGCTGTCCCCACCTTGTACCCAGCACAACAAATCTGCTGCTACTCCCCAAAGAAGAACGCATAAAGGCTCAACATCTAACTTGAAAAAACTAGAGAGAGCCACCAGAGAACTCCAAGGAAATTCAAAAAGGGATAAAGCCTGGGTGGGGAGGAGTGGGCTGGAGCAGGGAGTGGAAGGAGGTATGGGGGAGGGAAAGCAGCAATGAGCAGAATGAAGGACAGTGGGGAGGGGGAGTGCCATGAGTTACCAGGCATGGAAGAAACTGGCCGTTGCTGCTTGGAGCTTGTCCTCCCACCGTACAGCCCACCAGCAAGGTTGTCACTTACCCCAGTTGGCCTTCTGTCAGGTCTATGTTTGATTTTCAACAAAACACTTTGGCTTTAAGTGTCTTTTCAGTGTTGGATTCTGAATGGGAAGATCCTCCTCCTCTGTGCCTGTCAGAGGGGCAGAAATAGCCGCTTGTCCTCACCCACTTCCACACTGAGCGGCTGGCCTGGGGCCTGCCACCCATTGGGGACGGCTCCGGTCTGGTTCCTGAGCTCTGCCCATGTCTCACTGTGCCTCCTGAAACTCTGTGGCTGCCCCGTCCCTTCCACCTGCCCCTGGTGTGGAACCAGTAGGTAGGCCAGCACGAGGGCTGGCCTGGGCCTTTGAAGATGAGTTCCCAGGAGTAATTCCTCCAAGGGCCAGGTGGCGGTCCGCCAGGCACCGTGTGATGGGTCTGAGGGCCGTGGTTCCCCATCGCTGCTCCATCGCTGCTCCTCATGTGCTCCATCTGCGGTCCTCCACACTCTGCCCAAATGTATCCATGGAGACAGTGGCTGAGCAGTGCCCAGACACATCCACACACACCAGTCTAGCTAATGGTGCCACGTAATCTTACCTAAACCAAACATTAGTAGTTGAAGACAACATCACCCGTCCTAATTAACCAACACTGTTTAAATAAGAGGCTGGAGTCAGATACTGTGGTTTCTTGATGACAAACTCCAGACATTCCTGGCCACCCCTCCCCCACTTCCCCCCACATGGGCCCTGCCTGCTGCCAAGGTCGAGGAGCACAGAGCATCATCAGCAGGGGTAGGGTGCTCCTCACCCCTCCCTGCACCCTCCACCCTCCCTCGCCCCCCCCAGCCCCCTTTATGGGTGGTTTCCATGTCGTCTTTGATTTAGGGGTGAGACCGCGCTGCACAAGGCTGCCTGCCAGCGGAACCGGGCCGTGTGCCAGCTCCTGGTGGACGCGGGAGCATCTCTGAGAAAGACGGACTCCAAGGTAACTTGATGAGCGAGTGCAAACATCCACCCGTGGGCCCAGATCGCAGGCCCCGTCGCCTTTGCTTGTGCCCGCAGCCAAGGCATCCTTTCTGTGCTCCTGGGAGTGCCGGGGCCCAGGAAAAAGGAGGAAAAAATAAAGTGCTTCATTTAGAGAAACTGCAGTTTAAATGTATAATCACAAAGGGAGGGTGTGTGCTCGCCTATGGGGCTTTATAAGCCGAATAGTGGGGAAGTAAGGTTCAAAGCCCCAGGAGAGGGGTCAGGATCATGTTCGAAGACATTGGTCTGGCCTCCAAAAAGACTGGGGTTTCTCTGTCATCTGCTTAATCCAGTATAGCTTGAAATCTGTGGTTTGTGTGACTATCAGGGTGTCAAAGAGGCTTCCAACTGCTTCCAGGGTGCGAGGTCAAGCTGCTCCAAGAGTGGTTCCGGTTCATAGACAGCACCCAAGGGAAGGGTGGAACGCCAGAGCAAAGGCCGTGTTACAGCTTTCTAGGACTGGCCTAGGACTGCAGCCCATGGCAGAGAGCAGAGCTGCCACAGGTCAACCCCCGGCAAGCCTGGTCAGCTCTGGGAATTTTCCAGCACCCTGGGGAGACTCTAAGAAAACACAAGCCACTTAATTGGCGAGGGTGGGGAGGGAAGAGGAGAGAGAGGTGGAGGAGGACTTCATTCAGCAGGTAGTGAGTAATGTAAGTTTGGGGCCAGTGAATGCAGCCAAGGAACAGAGCAGTGACTTAGAAGCCTAATAAAGGCTTAAGTCCCATTAGCCTAACGTAACTGTTGAGTATCTATTTATGTGCACTTCCTTTCCCTGGGGTTCCCTCACACCACAGCGTGTGTTGGGAAACATTCCTTGCTTGTGTGGCCCTCTTTCCTGTCTGTGGCAGTCCCGTGACACAGCGCGGAATTCTCCACTTCCTCCGTGACCTCCCAGGCCCTTGCTTGCTGATTGAGGTCCCCGGCCACCTCCCTACGCTTCAGGCACACCAAGCTGGCCCGTTACCTGTCTGGTTAGCTAATTGGGGATGCAGTTCCAAATGGCAGGTCATTACTCAATGTGATACTCTTCCCAGCTAATATTTGCCCTCAGATGCGATGATGAGAAACCTCCATGAGAAACACAAGCCGTGTAGGCGGGACCAGGGGAGCCGGGATCCCAGGTAGATCCCGCCTCGCTGGGGCCACACAGCCCTCAGCAGGGCAGTTGCCTGTTCACCACACAAAAGACTTATCTCACACTCAACCCACATAATAAAAAAAAGTGAGAGGCAACAGGAAATAAAAAGATATACAAAAGACTGGGCGGGAGACTGAGCCCCTGAGCAGAGTGCTCTTTTGTTTTCCTTTCTAAGTTTTTGTGTCAGATTAATGGGCACAGTGTTCCTTGAGATTTCTTCCTATTCTGTGTTCTGTACATGTGTGCTCTTTTCCAAAACACAGGCAACGTTATTATTTTTGTGGTTGCATCTGTTTTTCTTGCTCATTTTTCTTAGTCATAACATACATGCTATTGTATAACTTTTCACCCGATATTATGTTCTGCAGATCTAACCATATGAAGTACCATAGTCACGCTTCATCCTTTTCAGGGGTCCTTTGTTTTTCCATTTTATAATTTGATGCTAGGTGAAACCGTCAGATATGATCATTAGGACTGAATCTTCTGGAATTGGGGGGGGGGCGTTGAGGGGAGAGAAGCAATATCTTGAGACTGTCTCTTCATAGAGAACAGTTCCTTTAAAATCATCTCAAAATCCCACCCTGGTCCATCTCCCTGGATATTCGGAAGCTATAGGAATTCCAACCTCATTAATATTGAAGTAAAGACAAGAGAGTCTACTAATTCTTTAAAGAAGTTGAATAAAATTACTATAGTAACTTTAAGCTGGTAGATAAATGTTAAATCCCAATGAAAATAAAATTTTAGAAAGAGCCCAGAGCCAGTGTTATTCCCTTTTGGTCCTCTGCCTTACGTACCGCTGGAGGCCACCAGGAACAGAATTACTGAGGTGGACACGGCCCAGCAGGACAGCTGAGCTGTGGTAGAGGACACTGTCATCTTTTGTGCATTTGTACACAGAGCTCTTTTTGTTTTATTTTTGTTCATTTGTTTATTTTATTATTGTTCATGTACAGTTGTCTCCATTTTCCCACCACCACTTCCCCTGCCCCACCCGCCCCCACCTCCCACCCTCAATCCTACCCTCCTTTGGCTCTGTCCATGGGTCCTTTATACATGTTCCATTCAAAAGAACCTGTGCACCCCGGTGTTCATAGCAGCACAGTTTATAATAGCCAAGTACTGGAAGCAACCTAAGTGCCCCTCGGTAAATGAGTGGATCAACAAACTATGGTATATTTACACAATGGAATTCTATGCAGCAGAAAGAAAGAAGGAGCTCCTACCCTTCAAGACAGCATGGATGGAACTGGAGAGCATTGTGCTGAATAAAATAAGCCAGGTGGTGAAAGACAAATATCATATGATCTCACCTACAAAAGGAACCTAATGTACAAAACAAATAAAGAAGCAAAATAGAACCAGAAGCATGGAAACAAGAAATAGATTGACAGCAACCAGAGGGGAAAGGGATATACTGAGCTCTTTTTTTTAGTACAATGATCAAGCCTTTCTCCTTTCCTGAGAACCCACTATCACTTATTTAAATAGACAAACTATGTTACCAAACAAAAATGAAAGGTTTGAAGGGGTGTTAAGTAATATCCGTAAGCATTCAGAAGAAAAAAATCTTCCCTCCTTTTATTGCTGATTTCTGTTCATGGGCCTCATTTCAAAAACATCACGTGTGCATGCCTCTGTGTGTGCACATACAAATATACATATAATATTAGAATAGGCTACAAGACATTATATAATGCAGAAGAGCATTTAATGACAAAAAAGCTTGATGTATTAAGTGAAAAAGCATGTTATATGACAGCTTATAAACAAAGCATGGTTTTACTTTGATCAAAATTATTATGTGTGGAGGTAGAAAGAAAATTAGCTACTCCATAGAAGGTTAACAATGGCTATCTTAGTATAGTGGATTATATTTTAATTTTCTTCTTTATGCTTTTCTGCTTCCCAAGATTTCTTTGACCAACATCCATCACTTTTCTAGTCAGAAGTTAACTCACTTTTCGGAGTGATGAGAACGTTCTAAACTGAGAAGAATGTTCTAAACTGAGGAGAATGTAACTGAAGTCTTTGAAACCTGCCAAGAAACCTTTTCAGATTGTTATGACCGACCCGTTCTCTCAGCATCTGCTTGTTGCTTCCCAGACGGAGTGTAACAGAAAGACTCCCAAACTAGAAATTGAACGCCTGCTTCCTTATTTATCTACTCACAGATTTCTAGCCACCTTCTTCCAAAACGGATCTGAGTTCCCACACCCACTGTGCTACCATTTCCTGCTGTGTACCCAGACTCGGTTTCCATAGAGGAAAACCCCACCTGTCAAAAGTCTCTCTCTCCTGCACTCGCCCACCTGGCATGCCCCGGGGGAATGCTGCTATTAGTAGATTCGAAGGCGTCTCCTGAACTCTAAAGCCGTAAACACGGAAAGACCCTTCTCAGTGAATAGTCTTTGAGTATCTCTGTTTCTGTGGATTAAAAAAAAATTCACCCTAAGTGTTTGTGTTTCTTTCCTTTTCACTTTTACCCACAGGGGAAGACACCTCAAGAAAGAGCTCAGCAGGCTGGGGACCCTGAATTGGCTGCTTACCTAGAAAGCCGGCAGAACTATAAGATCATTGGCCATGAAGACCTGGAAACTACTGTTTGACCCTGGGAGACGGGCAAAGAGAACCTGAGCGAGCGTATCACCTGTGCCCTCCTGGCGATCGGGCAGCTCCCCTGGAAGAAGCTGATGGAATCCATAAATCCATCTCTCTCCTGCAAGAGTCTATCTGAGATTGCGCCACCAGTTTTTAAGGGCTACCGAGATGTGCAACCAAATAGGATAGCCCGCAAAGGATGAGGCAGGATACCTGGAGATTTGTGGAACACGAGTTCCGCAATATTCGATCCTTATCGCTTCCAGCAAGTAGCATGAACTTCTGTGTCCACCCATATCATTTATGTTAAAGAGTCAAAGGATGTTCGTATAAAAGGCACTGCTCCCTTCTCCTGCTAGGCATTCACCTTCCCCTACACCACACCATTTTCCTGTGACCACCCATCCTTTGAAAAGATGCGACACAATCTCTTCTCTTTAACTTCAGTCTTTGAAGACCACAAGGCTGTCTGAAGATCTTTGAAAACCCTCTGGATGCCCTGCAGAAATTGAACTGTTAAATCACTTCCATTTCCAACACTAAATATACCAGGACAATTAGTGACGTTTTTTGCATGTCTCTCCTCCCTCCCCAGTCCCTTTCCATCACCTAGGAGCTGGGAGGTGCCACACTGGTAATGTCAACTTCTGTATTGTACCTCTGAGGTATGGTCAGGTGGCATGGGAGTCGCCTGTTCTCAGAGGGACCTCAGAGAGGTAACCCAGGGGTTAGCCCTGGTTGTGGGGCTGTCGCCGGTGGCCACAAAGGTCGGATTCAGCTTGGGCTGTTTGTACAGCTCCGTACTGCCTATGTAGCCATCTTTGCCTTTTGCTGTGATACAGAGATGAGCAATGGGTTAAGCAAAGGCCTGAGGCTGGTTTGCAGAAGCGCTCAGCTCTAAGTGCCGTTTCCACGGCAGAGCAGAAAACCACGTGCGGGAACTGCGGTTACAGGAAATGGAGCTCTACGCCAGTGCTGACTTCTAAACTTTTCTGAGTGATAATGGAAAGCAGGCAAATGGACTTGAAATACAACAGCAGAAGCAAAAGTAGCAACATATGTCAAAGAAACTCACTTAAGTACAAAAACAGTCCCTGGAATTTTGCACAGAGGCTAATAAATACAGACTCTTGGGTACAGCAGTGAGCGGGAGGGGGCCGGTTTTAGATTTTCCTTCTAAGTTTTGGTTTTCGTTAGCCCAAGTACGTCTTGTCCCAAGGACAAAGGCTTGCTGCGTGAGTTTCACTGCCGATATTCAGGATGCGTGGCCCTTTCTGATGGATGCCTCACCTAGTTACTTGTCAGGTCCTGGCAACACTATAGCCCCATTTTACATGTGCAGGGGAATCTGATATATTATTTTCTCTATTTTCTTCTATCAGAAAGTTCTTAGTGCAAACCACTGTGGGAGCCCAGCCAGGAATGTCTCTCTGGCAGTGGAGTGGTAACTCCTAATCCTGCCTCAGAGCAATTGGTACTCACAGGTGCCTCTCTTAGGGACTCAGTGATCATTACAATCTTAGGGGGGAAAAGTCTTCTAACTTTTGGCGACAATGTCTACTTGACTTGCGTGTGAGTCAGAAATGAATGTGGTGACCAAGGGGTTTGCTTTGAATTAAACGTCTGTTTTCAGAGCTCTTCTCCACTTTGCTCGTAGACACAAGCAACATGCTTCCTTACTGTTTCTGCATGTCAGCATAAACTATTGTTTCTCTCCATTGAATTTCACGTGGTGACATGCCGCTTATCTGAATCACGTTTTGATCACATATCACCTTGAAAGCACAGATATGATATACTATTCCCTAGGAATCGCCACTCAGTGGATGGGGGTTGAGTCTCTCCTGAGTCGTCTCAAAATCAATGGCTGGCATTATTTTCAGCTGTGGGAGGAAGGGTTGGATGTGAATAATCTATTTCCATAGATCGCTCTTAGAAATGGAACTATCGTTGGGGTTTTATGGTGAGGGGAGGAGGGACTGCACTAGATTGGTTCCAGAAGCTGGAAAAAAATATGCTGTTGGTGAATTTAATCACTGGGCTTCTGCTGGGAGTTTTCAATTGGTGGAACCGTCAAGGAGATGTTGTGATGACAGAAATATAATCCTTAAAACAGACTGAAAGCTGGCTTTAAATGGTGCCTTCCATTCCCTAGATTAAGCCAAACGTTTAGCCGCATGGCCAGCTACCCAGACGCCACTGCTGGGATGAAGGACTATTTTCATCACCTCCCATCTCATATTTCTCTGTGATGCTTCAAAGCAGCTCAGAGAAAATTTAGGGTACAGGTGGCCCAGGGCCAATTCCAATAGCTCCGATGGAAGTCACGAGTAAATCTCTGCAATGAAAATAGATGACATACTGACTGCTGTAGGGGTCTTGGAACATTTGGAAATTGTTCAACCCACCTCCCCAAAAATAGTAATAGAATCCTATGTTATTTTTTAAGGTTTTATTTATTTATTTTTAGACAGAGGGGAACAGAGGGAGGAGGAGAGGGAGAGAAACATCAGTGTGTGGCTGCCTCTTGTGTGCCCCCTATCAAGGACCTGGCCGGGTAACCCAGGCATGTGCCCTGACTGGGAATTGAACCAGCGGCCTTTTGGTTTGCAAACCGGCACTCAGTGCACTGAGCCACGCCAGCCAGGGCGGAGTCCTACGTTACTGGTGGAGAACGATGTAGGACCAAGGCAAATATCTCTGAAAAAAGCAAACACCCCCAGGATTTGGGCTTTCCAAAAACAAAAAGTCAAAAATGAGCAAAAACAGTTACACAGGTAATGGCTTCTACATTACATCTACTCCCTGGAGCATTTTATTTTTTTAACTGATCATTACATGTGACAGTCCTGGCCTTTAGAAAGCGCTCCGGTCATATGCTGCAGGAGTTTTCAGCTCTGAAATCAGCTTAGGCAGATAGCACCTCAAGAAGTGCAGAAGCAACTAGCCTGGCCCCAGTCTGAAAGCCCACATAACTTTCCTTTAAAAGACATAAAACGATATACCTGTAGAAATGCCATTTTCTAAGAAACCTACTGAAACCGGCACAGAGTGGCTGGCTCAGCTGCCAGGCCTCTGTGTCTGGCTCCGAGGAGCCCCCTCTGCGTCTGCGCCCTGTCTGCTTTGGGATACCGTTTTTAGATCAGACCGATAGAGCCATGAGAAATGGAGCCTTATGAAAAGACAACATGATATAACCTTAAAGGCAGTCATTTTTTTTGAAACCTTCTATTCCAGTTTTACACCATTAATGAAATAGAACCCAGTGAAGCTGTGCTTTATCACGTTCAAGGACATGATACAGCACAGGAGCCAAGGAGGAAATAAACACCACGGCTGGGAATTTCGCTTTGTGAGTGCTGGTTACCTCTCTAGAAGTTACAAACTAAAACAGATGCAATTTTTGAAAGAGAAGTTAGCTTGCGAGCCCAGTTGTGAGGTCAGTGATGACTGATGGGAAGCCTCGCATCCCCAGATGCCCCCATCTGTGCATCGGAGCTGGCTTTAATGTTTAGGCAGGTCCAATTGCATGGAAAGATGCTTAAAAGGTAGTTAATTTTCATGTAGACCCAGTAACAGTCTCTTTGCTGGAGGATTTCTGAAACGTATGTATTAGATTCTCAAAATGTCCATGTCTTGGAGAACGTGGGGCAGCAGCTGGATTTTTTCCATGTCACCTCTATTTAAAATATTTAGATTTTTTGAAATTATAAAAGCAGAACCTGCTTTTTATAAAAAGTTCCAAGACCATATAGGTGAGTAGCCCATGCAAAGCGAAGTGTTCTTCTGTGTTTGTGGTGTCCTCGTCCCACTTTCCAGAGATCGATAATGCTGACCTAATAAACTTATAAACGCTGCTGCTTATAAGTCATGTTAAAAATACTCTGCCTACACTAGCCCACCTCCTCACAGAAATGCATTTGTTTGTATACATATATGTGTATATATACTATACACACATATAAAAAAGAGAAGACGTTTCAGAAGCATGCTGGTCACCTATATATGCATAGTTAACACCAACAGCCCAAGACAAGGTAACGGAGAATTTCCATGTATCCATTGCTATTTGTACTAAGCTTAGTTCTATTACTGCATCGTACTGCAGTTGCACATGGCCTTTGATAGTGCCTGTGTCATCAAATCCATGACCAAATGGTCTTGCAACTGCTTATGTCACCTCCCATAAAGCATGGCACCGACCAGAACCCAGAAACTTGTTTAGATCTCAAGCGGAGGGTTTGTTCCTGGGCGATGCTTGTGCACTGCCTCAAGCTGAGGTCACGGGACTGGCGCTCCTAGGGCTGCCTAATGATGTTTAATTAGGGTCAGCTGTTGCTAGGAACGTGTAGGGACTTGGACGTGGGGTGGGGGGGCGTCTGAGGAGCTTGGCTTCCTTCCAGTAGGAGTTGCTAATGAAATCACTGAAACAGCAGGCTATCTTCTGCAGTTATGCAGTTTAAAAGTAAAATAGATCATTGTGAAATTGGCTCATCATAACCACTGACTAAAAGGACTAATTGCTCTACTTCAAGGGATTATCGTCATTTTAGGCAAAAAAAAAAAGTCTAGGATATGCATTCAATTAGAGAGTTTTTGAACTAATCGTAAACTCTTGTTTATTTAGTGTAAAGCACCCCAGGTGTTACAGAACCATTTCTGAATCAACTTTTCATTCTCTCAAGTGCATATTCCACTGCTTCTGAGTCCTGCTGTGTTTTCTCGGCCAGGCCTCTCAGGTTGCCCTTGGCACCCTCCTCCCTTTGAGGATCCTCCTGGTCACTCATCTCTGGTCCCTCCCATTGTCTGGCCCTGGCCACAGTACTGCTTGTAGGCTTGCTCTTCTGCCTTCAGTAATTTTTCTCATGCAGATACAAAATCACCCTCAGCTATTATACTCAAAAGTGGATCAAAATGAAATCACCCCCTGAGACAAATATCCATTTTGCCTGAGGGACAAACAGATGTCCCCTGACCTGGATCGTATCCTAGAGATCCAGGAGCCTTCCTCTGAGAAGTGACCTGCCAGACAGGGTTGGCAGATGTCCGTGTCAGTCACCTCAGGGGGTAGGAGAGGCTGCCATCATGAAAGCTTCTTCCGCATTGAACAATATCAACAGTGTGCCCCTGAGAAGCCACCTGTTGGCTGGGTTGTGTATGTGTCATAGTTCTGTGGCTGTCTGTGGACTTCAGGCTGTGTCCCATAGTTTAATGAGAAACCTGAAGACAGGGACCAAGCAAGGCATTGTGCCCTGGGATGACCTGTTCTCCCAGGGCACCGAGAACCATTGAACTGGTCCCAAAAGAGAAGCAGGGGAAAGAAAAAAGAATTCTGAGGCTGTTGAAGCATTACATTTTAAAAATAGAGATTTGAATACTGGATGGTATCTTCATGGTGGACAGATTCCAGTTTATTTATGTCTGTATTCGGTGAATTCAGTCATTCAAATACAATCAGTGTGTATGAATCAGTCACACATTTGTGTTTTTAGTCATTTCTTTTCAATATACAACACATTTGTCACATACTCTGATGCAGGCACCCTCCTAAGGACATAATTAATAGAAGGAACAAATCTCTTGACCTCACAGAGCTGACAGCTCAGGAGAAAAGACAGATTCCGCCATGCGGGGCTCTGTGCGGGAGCAGCCCCTGCTCGGCCGGCAGCGTGTACTGGGGGCTCAGCCGGGGCTTACAGGGCAGGCCCCTTGAGCCAGCGCTGTTTCACTCCTGTAAAATCGGAAAGGAGACTGTGAATGTGCAAGAGAAATAGTGACATTTTGCAGTTCCTCTTCCTTGGAGTCTTGGCAGCCTTCTTAAAATTGTGTATGAGACCAAAACTTTAAGGCGCAACTTAGAAACACTGCTAAAATGAGAGCTAAAACTCATCCTGTATCTCAAGGATGTAACTAGAAAGTAGGCAAAATTTGCAATGGGTTAGGTTAAATATAAGGAAAGTGAAGTATACATATCGCCAAAGAGTGGAGTGGGCATCCTAATAAAGTTATAAAATTCCAGCCACACGACCGCCTTAAGGAATGTTGTGTCTTGGGACCCCTTTGCCTAAGGGAGCTGGAATTAGATTCTGTGACTTTTTAAGTGTTTCTTCTAAAATGAGTTTGTGGAATGGCAGGATTTCATTTGGAAAATTTATGAACATTTTTTAATCTTTGAAATACCCCTTTGTGAGTGAGGGGCTTTAAAATCTTAGGGACAATGACCTTTAGTTATAATTTAAAACATCTTTAAGTCAACTAAGCCTAACAGTAAGAGCTATTGAAAAGAAAGTCTACTAAGAGGTACAACTTACTCAGAAATACCTCTGGAGCATTATGCATTTTGATGAATGTTCGTTCTTAAGCATTCTTCGTAATTCCTAGTAGAAGTCTGTTTTACTGTCTGTCTGTCTGTCTGTCTAATACAAAAAAAGTGCTGTGATTTGATACACTTAGAATTAAATGTAATCTAATGTAACCACGGAAGAAAATTCTGCTTAAAAGATATTTGGAAGCCCAGTCCATACCCATGAAAGGCAACCTTGGGAAACGCCTTGGCTTCTGCTCCTGGCATGCTAATCGCAAGGGGTAGCTTACCCATAGAAATAAGAAAGTGATGATTCTGGGTTTTCTTCAT